AGCGGTTAGAATCTTGATGACGTGGTACAGAGGGACCTGTGTGAGTGAACTCGCCTGAGTTTTCAGGCGAGTTAGGGTTGAATCAGTTTGGAGAAGAAGAACAATAGACGGGCGCCGCAAATGAGGAGTCTTGTGTTTTGGGGTTTTCAGGGAAAAAATTATAAAGGGGATTTTTATATTAAAAGGGGAACGGGCGGGTCATAGGTGGGTCGGGCGTGGGTTTGGGTTGGACCGGGCAGGTAAGAGAGAAAAAAAAGGTTGGGCTTTGCACTTGGGTCCATTACATAACAGCCCTATTTTCTTAATTCCTTTTCATTTCTTTCTTCTTCTTTTTTTCAATTTTTCTCTTTCCCTTATTTTAATTAATTAAAACCTAAACAAAAACCCCCTACAATAATTACCTTGGAAAAATTAAGCTGATTATGTACTATAATTTTTGTGAAAAATAATTACTCCTAAATTAAAAGGGAAACTACAAATTTAAAATTAAAAAGCTAAAATTGCAAAAGTAAGCCAATTTTCGTAATTTATGCAAAATAAGTCCTAAATGCTAATGTAATATATTTTTGTATTTTTCATGAATTAAATAAAATGAACGTGCACAGACAAATGAAAATAGTTAACAAAAAATGTTACAAAAATCTACGAAATTGCAAGTAATGGAAAAAATTTATTTTCTTGAATTTATGGGAGTAATTCATACATGGCAAAAAATCACTTGCTCACACTCTGAAGGTTACAACCATTCAGAAAGCAAAGGAGTTGGACAAAATATCACTAGATGAGTTGATTGGAAATTTAAAAACTCATGAGATGAGGAAGCTGGAACTATGCAAGGAAGAACCACAGAGGGATAAGTCACTAGTTCTTAAAGCTACTGAAGAAGATGAGTCTGACAATAAAGATCTGGACATTGAAATGTTTGCTAAGTTCAAAAAATTCATGATGAACCCCAAAAATTCACCATAGAGAGAAAGCAATAGCAAACCTAAGCAGGATGACAAGTCTTCATATGATAGATGCTACAATTGTAACAAGCTGGATCATATGGTCAATGACTATCCAATGTGGGAAATTGAGTGAAACAAAGAAAGAGCTGAGAAAGATAAAATAGATTAGTTGAAGAAGCGAGGCCAAAATAAAAGCAAAATCCTAGGTAAGGGATTTATTGAGGCCATGAAACAAGCTTTTCTGGGAGCATATAAAGATAGTGGAAGTGACAAAGAGGAGGAGAAAGAAGATGAGACTATCAGTCTATATGTTGTATATCACGACCCAAAACGATGGGCCGCGATGAGCACTCGGTACCTTACTCAACCGAGTACAAACATAACGTATCTTACTTATTACATCATCACATACACGTGAAATGCGAGCCTAATAGGCCAATATGATCATTTGTAAACTCAAAACATAGGCCAACAAAGCCATACAAGTATTCGTATACATGACATCTGTCTACAAGCCTCTAAGAGTACATAAGCATCATAAAGGTCGGGACTGAGCCCCACCAGACCAATCAATACATGTCCTAATTATACTGACCAAATAAGCAACTATAGAGCAAATGGAGCACACCAACATCTTTCGCTGAGCTGATAGACTACTTGGAGGACTCTCGACCTGTCTATCGGGACCTGCAGGCATGAAATATAGCGTCCCTAAGCAAAAGGGACATCAGTACAAAAAATGTACCTAGTATGTAAATAATGAAAATCAGTAAATAATAGACATGAGAGAAATATGGCATAAAAGAATCGACATGTAAATCTGAATAACTTTGTAAATCGTGAAATACTCATACTGTCATGCATATGCGTATGAATATCATTTCGTACATAGGTACATGTGCTCATAACATCATCAATCCTCTGAGGGCATCCCATCATATCATCTCGGCCACTGTGGGCAAAATCATCAACGTATACCAGCTGAACAGGTGGTGGTGCATATATAATGACGTAACATTTTTCCCGCATCCCATATAAATATAATATAGATATATACACGTATATAATGCCATCTGATCATGGGTCAATGTACATATATAAATGCATAAAATTCATAATAAATACGTTAATAAGATTTCTCGGAATGTCATAAAAATCAATATGCCTTTCGAATAAACTATGTCAAATACGTATTTTTCTGAAACCCATGAACAGAAGATATTATAACGACCCGACTGGTCGTTTTGAACATTTGTACTTCGCTTGGTAGTTTGGGGGCACGAGTAGCTTCGTATGATGTATTAATACTTGTATGCAAAATTTGGGTTCATTCCAAGTTGATTAAATATGTTTCGGTATGAGTTTTTGGAAGTCGAAAGTTCGAAAGTTCATTAAGTTTGATTTGAGATGCATTTCATCATTTCGATATTGTTATATATATTTTAAGGCCTCGAGTAGGTCTGTATTATGATATGGAACTTTTTGGTATGTTTAGACGGGGTCCCGAGGGGGTTAGGTGAGTTTCGGATAGGTTTGGGTTGTGTAGCACTCGTTTTTTTATGTTTCGACGTCGTTTCTTCAAGCATAAATCGTACCACATTGAACAAATGACCTCCAATTTCTGTTTTATTGAAGCATTATATCCGTATCACAATTACGGAGCCATAGCAAAGAGAATCATCAAATTTGGACATCGTATGAGGATTTTATGGTCATTTTACTAAGAATTGGGTTGCCAAAATTTTCAGATTAATTACGAAATTGTCACTGTTGCGTATTTAAAAATCTGCACTATTTTCAATTATTGAAACCAACATATCTCCTTCAATATAAGGTCAAATGGAGTGATACAAGAGCCTAACGTGACTAGAATTTCACAAGGAATCCATTGGAGGTATCAAAACCGAGTTTGGAGATCTTTTGGCATAAGAAACGAGGCAGAACAATGTTAAAACGAGGATTTTATCCATTTAATATATTTTGAGTTGGGAAGCTCGGAATTGGGCAATTTTTGGAGGCACTTTTCAGCATATGAATTGGGATAAGTGTTCTCTACTCGTTTTTGATTATATTTCATGAATCTATCTTTGATTTTAGCTTTTGGTGGATGAATTTTAAAGAAAAAATTGGGGGTTTTGGCCTAAAGTTTCATAATATGAATTTTTAAGTTTTGAATACTGATTCGAAGTCGGATTTGAGTGAAACTAGTATGATTGAACTCGTAATTAAATGGGTTGAAGGATTTACTGAGTTTTGTCGGGTTTCGAGGTATGGGCCCGGGTTTGATTTTTTGGCATATTTTGGGCTTTTGATAAAAAAATTCGACCTTTTTCGATTGGGATTTGTTCCTTGGCATTGTTTGATGTATTTGAGTTATTTTTGATTAGTTTCGAGCCATTCGGAGGTCGAAACGCGCGTGATGGGATTCTTGGAGCATCACTTGGCTTGCTCGGTGTTGGAATTGACTTGTTTAAGATAAGTAACTCTTTTAAGCTTAGTGCTGAGGGTATGAAACCCCGAACTACATGTTATATGATTGGTATTGAGGTAACGCACATGCTAGTTGACGGGCGTGTGGGCATGTACCCTGTGTAATGGGACTCTGTTGTTCCCATGGCCCTATATAGTGGCCCAATTTTGTTGATATTTGTGTTTTCATCATGTGATAAAGCAATTGAGCTATCAATCATGCTAAATATCATGTTTAGGCTTTATGTTGATATTGTTTGTACCCATAGTGGTTATTTCTTGCTGTCATCTCACTGATTTCCATTGATATTTTCTACTCAGTCATATTTATACTGTCACACCTCCTTTTTCACCACCTGAGGGCGATATAAGGGAGTTTTCCAATTAAAGTGATATTATTCGAAATGAGATTATTTATTTAATCAGAGTCGCCACTTGTAATAGTTTATTTGGTGTCCCAAGTCACCGGTTTATTTTAAAATGCCAAATCGAGGAAATTCGACTTTTATTTTTAAAGTCTGCCAACCAGAAATTCTAGATAAGGAGTTCTGTTAACCCGAGAGAAGCTGTTAGACATTCCCGGGCTCCGTGGTTCTAACATGGTTGCTTAAACTATTAAAATTGGCCTATTATCCGATTTATTACACGTTTTAACCTACTGTGCAATCTAACTTTTATAACCGCTTTTAATAATTATTGCTGCATATTGCGAATCATGTCATGGGAACCATACCCACGATCTACAACATGTCTAAATTTTTAAGATTAAATTGTGGTCGGGTCACATAAATGTACCCCCCGAATTTTAGTAATTAAGCGTCATGACTACGTCACGGGAGTCGTACCCATAGCGATGACAATTATTTAATTAACGCGCCTAAAGCAAACTACGAAGGTTCAAGGCATTTCTAAACTAATTTTGTATTTATATGAGGGCCATAATTTAAAGGATTTTATTTGTGTATGGAACACTCCAAATTATTTTAAGAAGAATTAGCTCTTGATTTAAATTTGTGAGGGCCATGTGTTATAGATTTAAGGCACGACACACCTCAAATTATTTTAAGAAAGAGGGTCATATGTATTTTAAAGGTAAACTAAAGGTACTCCTATTTTAAATTAATTTAAAAACTAATTATCACAACCACGGCACGGGAACCGTACCCGTAGTTGTAATAGTTTAACAAGCGTGCCTAAAGAAAACTACGGATATTTAAAGAATTAATTACTCCTAAATTTTGTATTATTAACAAGAGGGCCATGAGTAATTTTGACGAAAGATGGCACGCCTCTAACCATTTTAAACAGACTACACTTAATTAAACCTTAGGAGATTTCCATCTGAACTTTGGACTCAAGTCGTTGAATAATATGTAAGCAATGTAAACAAGCTATGAAATATTCAAGGCGGAAACTGGGCCAAAGGCAGGCCCAGTATACTATTTAGCGGTCCCTTCTCTTTTAGACAAATGAAATGGGATATCGTTCCCCATTAGGCCCACAATTGAGCCCAGACGCAAACTAGAAGCAAGATGGTTGCTGAAGGTTCGGAACAAATCAATATTCAATAACATTGCATGGTAAGAATTAAACAATGGAAAATTATCAATTTTTGCTTCAAAAGGAAACAGTTCCGAAACTTCAAATTACCCAAACTTCCATAATACATGAATTATATCCCAATTTGAACCAAAATTATGCAACACTGCCATGACTTAATGAAGGTTGAATCAAAGGGGAATTATAAATTTACATGCCCTAATAAATTGAAACTAACTGATGATGCGAAGAACACTGCCATCTATGCAATTACCAACTCAAGATGCCAACTTTTGTATTTGAACTTATACCAAATGGACTTCAACTGGTTCCAATGGCTATTTATTAACCATGACACCACATCCTTAGCATCTAATCAATGACAACAAAAGCTAGTCTAAAACTTGAAAAGAAAAGAGCTAAATATGACAAAGAGATCTCTCATAATTGAAGAAGTGATTTAGTGACAAAATTAAATTCTCCATAAGAAAATAGCACGACTGAATCATCAGCTCCCAGACCCTTTTGTTTTAACAACCTTTAAAATTCTAACCTTGGTTTATGGCTTGCCAATCTAACCAACAACAGTCAGATCCGCAAGACTTTAACCAAATTATTAACCAACAAGTACTTTCCATTCTCCAAAACTAAAACAAAATTGACATGTTCAAACCAGGTTGCTTATAACCAAGATTTCCTACTATGGCTTGAAACCAAAGAACAATGCTAACAACGAACAAAAACAAACATATTTCTGAAAGAAACAAGAAGAAGATCACTGCATGATGGCATGTTTTTAAACCAACTATTGAACACTAATAAGACATTCCCATTGTTTTATTACTTTAACCATTACTCAAACACAAAAACAAAGCAGATTTGGAGCTTTGAATCAGCTGAAAAATACAAAGAAAAATTACTAGAAAAGCAGAATCTAACTTCATTCATACTCAAAGTCAAAGGAAATCAGCTTCTATTCAAACACAACTCAAAACCAAGCATATAAAGTTCAGAAAAATACCTAGAAAAGAAAATGGAACAACCAGATCAAAGAAAGAAAGAAGTCTACAGCAGCACAGGTCAAATCGAACATCAGTGAATCCACAAAACCAAAATTTTGTTTCAGCGTTAGAATAACTCCAGCAAATGACTCCACAAAACAGGCAGAACTCAAAAAATTTCTTCAGAATTTTTTGGAAAAGAGCTGATTTCAGCCATTTGTGTTTTTTCACCCTTTTTTCTTTGTCCCCGATGATTGGAAAGAGGGCCTTTATAGAGAGGATTAGGGCAACAATATCAGATTTTTTCATTCAAATTCACCCTTAAAACTTTTATTTTAAAACACTTACCCCC